CCCGGGCCGAGGAGCGGGAGCCCTTCCTGCCTTCCTCCCGGCCCGCGCTTTCTGCTTCTTTCCCCCCTTGCACCCTCTCGTCTCTTTTTCATTTTTTTACGCTATTTTTCCCTTTTGGCCTTTTTTCCCCCTGTTTCCCCCCCTTTTTCTCTTTCCCCTCTTTTTTCCTTTTTTTTTCAGTTCTTTTTTTTCCCTTTTTCTCTCTCTCTTTCGCCTTTTCTCCCTTTTTTTTCCCCCTTTTTTTGCTAAACCAAAATCATAACTGGAAGGCATCTCCTTAGGCTAGTGCCTGGTTTCCCTATGTAAGAAGCATTCAAGGCTTCAGCTTATTTAAGCCAATAAGTAAATAAATAAATAAACACTGATGAACCTCTAACACAGCGCCTGACTTGCGCTTAGCAAAGCACCTGAGTTAATACAGGTCCTGGTGAAATTATTGGCCCATTACCAGTTTTGCAAGACTGCTCTGGAATTATGTGACAGAGCAAAAGGGATTTTTTTTCCTATTTCATTATGAACAAAATAGTTTTTTAATTTTTCTTTTTTAAAAGTTTTTCTTCGTTACAGAGGCTAGGATATTAGTTTGCCTCAGTCACCCAGGGGCTATTGCTGCATATATTGGCACTGTAGTGTTAATAACTGACTTGAGGATGCAACGATCTTCAAGAATCTATTTATGTGACATATAATATGTAACTGATTTTTTAGCTTGTAACTCTATTTTACTTGCTAGGATCCTTCGCTACAGCAGTCAGAACGTGCTTTGAAGATAAAGAGCAAGAACGTGCAGTTTATGAATTTAAGAAGCACAGGAACTCTGAACAACAAAAGGTAAATTTTACTGAGATATTCATAACAACAACATTTGCTGTTCATTCTAAAGTACAGCACAATACGCCATGAAACTAATATAATATGAATATTGGCATCATGGTGTAGAGAAGCATTGGTTTGTGGGAGAACGTTTTGGATGAATTTGTGAAGTCCCTTAGGATATAGTTCATGTAGCTAAACAGAGATGTCTGAGCAGCCCCAGGGTGCATGAGGTTCCTGCCTTGGACTGGCAGGACTTGACAGGGTACCTGAAAGACACTTCCCATGGATGTTGTTCATTAAATACCTGAATCACATCTTGCATCCTAGGCTGAGGGTCTTCAGGCCTTTTCCACCTGTGGGTGTTTTTGTGGTGGCCCTAACACAGATGATGTGGAGTGTATTCCCTTGCGGGAAGCTTTCTTTATCATCAGCTGGAAAATACAACATCGCTGTATTTTATTAGTACAGTTAGTACAACTAGTAATTGCAGTCATGTTGTCTTGCTCTACCTGTTAACAAAAACTGAAATGATGTCACTTGACTGTGTGTTGCTAGAGTCACACACCTGCATACGCAGTGTTAAAACGTGACATTTGTATGGCTGCAAAAATAATGTGGTTTCACAGCTGTATTAAGCCCTGTGTAATGGCCACTGCGGTGCTCTGAGGCTCTTTGGAGAAGCTAATTGTAGACATGTTTGTTCATAAGCATGTTTTAAATGATGCACTGGACTGCTTTGGGAACTCCAGCTGAGAAGTCAAATGCTGTATGTAGACAGGGCACTCGAGGCAGATACGGATGTTTCTAAACTTCTGCTTGCAGTTAAGTTGTTTTCTTATAATCAAGTGGCATACCCTCTGCATGTACCCTCTGCACGGGAAGTGTTTGTATTCAGGAAGTTTCAAAACGAAGCAATTCTTGCACCCCTCTATAAAAACGCTTAATTTTGAACCAGCCCTGTCTTCCTTGTACTCAGCAGTCTGTATATCTAAGAACAGAAGGGAATATTCTTCAGTTGGTGATCTCTACTACCAACTAACTTCAAAATTTTGCCACTGTTTGAGATGCTTTCTTATCTACATTATATTAAAAAAAATAACTTTTGTGTTTCATGAGGTCATCTCTCCTTCCTCCAAGATCACAGACTTGTCTTGTTTTTATTACAGAGAAAATACTGTCTTCCAAAAGAAACCTTTTCTAATTATGGGATTATATGTCATTTGCAGCTGTTTAGATGAGACCACTTATGAAAAACTGGCTGAAGAAACACTGGACTCCTTAGCAGATTTCTTTGAGGATCTCACAGATAAGCCTTTTACCCCAGAAGATTATGATGTATCTTTAGGGGTATGTTTTTAAGTTTCTGTTATTATCGCTATGATTATGGTAGATCATACCTTTGAAAGAGGATTTTAAACTGGTCATCTTAGTGCCTACATTTAAATTATAGTGAGTTTTTTTATTACTTAAAAACTAAAATATGCTGAGGAAAAATATTATTTGGTTTTATGTAGTGTATCAGCTACTTTGGTAAAAAGTGACGCTTAATGTTACATGATTTGAAAATCAAAATGTGTAGTGCGTAGACAAGGATATAATGTTGATTAATAGAGCAGCATGAGAGGAGGTGGAAACTTTTTTGACTTCACTGTGGTCCCTAAAACTTTCTACTCTTGCTTGGAGTTCTGCTACCAGCAGAGAGTTCCCTCTAGAAAAATGCAAGGGCAGGCATGTGCCACGTGTCGCATATAGCTTAGGTACATTTGTTAGAGCAGCTCTTGGTACTCGTGGGTGCTGAGAGGCGGCCAGGCAGCGTTTGTGTTTGTCCTGGCTTCACTGGTGGTCCAGCTGTGATGCAGAGCAGCAGGAGAGCCCGTGATGTTTGGAGGAGAGGTTGCAACAGTGAGAACATGCTGGGGGTGAAGGCTGCTGTCACAGTGGGGAGCCTGATAGCTGAGCATTAACAGTGTTCAGTGCTTCACATGAGATTTCATAATCTGAATAATACTCAGATTATAATCATAAAATGAATCTGACAGCCCTGTGAAAGCAAACGAGTGACAATTCTATTTATATAAAGTTAATAAATTCCTTGAGTAAAATTCCTGAGGCTGGTTACATGCTGCAGCTCGCTGCATGACATGGAAGGGGATGCAGGCTCTCCCTTTGCTGCCGTCTGCAACGCATTTTCTTTTCATAAACTGAATAAACGTGACTTGCAGTTCGTGTGGTACCGCGGGGAGGTTGCTTGTCCTGGCCCTGTCAGGTGTGGGTTTATGCTCAGGGGCAGCAGATGCTTGGGGTTGCACTGTGCAAAAAAAATGCTGTATGTTGCAGAGCTGCTCATGTGTAACTTTGCATGATTGTAACATTCTTATTTATTTCATATGACTAGAATAGAAGACAGCAACCTATTTTTGCGCTTAGCAAATATCATTAATTATTGTAATTACATACAGAATTACTGTTATAGCAAATTATTTAGCTGATGAACAGCCATAAATTGTTTAACCATCACCATCTATATCTGTTACTACTTAAGTGTCTGTTAGGCAGGCTTAAAGATCTTACCGCGAAAGTTACCGAAGATAAGTGTTTTCCCTTTCAATATTTTTATACGCTTCATTACATGAAAGTCTGGAGTAATATCATAACTTTATCTCTGGTAAATTTACAGTGGGTTGTGTTTGATGTTTGGTCACTGTGAGGCTCTGGGGAATTACTTTTACAGCCAGCTTGCGTCAGTCATCCTGTGTTGCACAGGTTGTGGGATTACCTGGAAATAGGTTGTAGTTTCTGTGCAGAGTAAAAGATTTAATGGTGCCAAGGTTACCTAAGTTAATTGCAAACAAAAGGAAGTTACTGTTCAGAAAGCCACAAGGTGGCGAGCTTGGTAAAGGTTAACTTCTGCTGAGAGGTCTTCCAAACTTTGTTTCTTTGTGCAGATACTTATATCTTAATATACAGGTGAAAGAAATCTGGTGTGAAAAGTATTCTTTTTACCAGTAACTAACAGGCGCTCATTAACTTACAGTGCTATAACCAACAGGCACTCAAAAACAGCACAAGAAACTTGCAGAGTTATTCCTCAAAATATGGTTAAAATGTCATACATTTTTGGTTTCTAAAACTTCCAGCTGTGTTTTCTGGTATTTCAAAAGTATTGGAAACCATTTGGATAAATGTTTTACCCTGCATTAGAAGTTAACCTTTATTGAATTAGATTTGATAGAGCAATAATGCTGTCCAGTCACTGACATATAATATAAGCAACAGTGAACTTTTTTTGTTAATGCTTTTGAAGCCTGTTACTTATAAATAAATAGTGCTTATTGAATGTGCAGTATAACATTAAGCATATTGAGTTGATGCGTGTGGCTCTAATTAGCACATAAAAGAATGCTGACACCATTATGAAGGTACTCAGCTATTCAGGATTAATGTTCTCAACACACTCTTATCTCCTGTTTTGCTTTGTCTCTGCAGATCAGAGACTGCTGAGTTATAGAAAAGGTTGAATTTTGGCAGTCAGAAAAGTAGTTTGGTTTTGTTCTTCTTTAGACTAAAATAATATCCATTTAATGCACCCTGCAGGACAATTTGATGGCAGTATTAATGAAGGATGCTTTTTTTTATTGCTAGCATGTAAACCCATTATCAAGCACAGAACAGCATTGAGAGTGGAGCGAAGAATTCAAACGTTGGGAGTGTTACTTCACTGCCGATACTTCTTGAGTTATGGCAGAAACCTAAAAGATTGGATTATTTCATAAGGGAGCCAAGGTCTAAGCTACTGCCTGTGCTGCTGAATAAAATTGTAGGCAGGTAGTAGGTAGTCATCAGTAAAAATATCTTTTTCCCCACATTTAAATGTCTATACATAGAAAGTGACCCTAGCAATAATTGCAGCTCTCACAATAGTATCTTCTGACTAAGGCAGGGAGGATTCAAAAATGTGCTGTGCCATGCTGCCGGGTATGATGTATTTGGGAAGCTGTAGATTAAATGTGACTTAACCTATCACCTGAGTCATCAAATTACGTTATGTAATTTTTAACGAGCGTATTTCAGATCATCTGCAGTTTAACTGAAATCTGAGTAGTGTCATTCTTTTACTCTTCAAAATAGGACAGAAATATCCCTGTCAGAGTTAAGATGCTCTGCAAAATACACTTATGAAAACACCGTAAACATACTAATCATGTTGTGGCTAAGAAAAGTGAGTAAGAGAAAATAGTGGTCGAGAGTTAGCAGAAAGTATAACAAAGCAGAGCTCAAAGAGTTTCAGTGAGAAACATTCCTGAGGAACAGTTCACCCTCTGCACACTTGATCAGAATTACTGGACCAGGGATTTTGCTTGTTCACCTGGAAACTCTTACAATTGCTTGAGGTCAGGTGGAGCTGCATGGCACACAAATTCAGTCGTGACACGAGAAGCTTCTTGACCTTGAAGCACAGCGAGTTTGCAGTGTACGAGAACAGAGGGTTTGTTACTGGCTGTGGTGTTGTAGCCTTTGCAGAATGAGCTGTCTGTCCTTTCAGGATGACAGGTCAGGACTGAACAGTATTGTTTACATACGGCTGCTGTGACTAGTGCAAACACACCAAATCATACCCTGAACAGAAGGGATTAAAGTCTAGATCAGACCCAAAAATAGGCAGGGTGTCACAGGTGTTAATGGAAGCTTTTGATATCTGATGACAGTTCTCCCAAACTAATAGTGCTTGGAAAATGGTTGAGGATATGATGCAAGCATGTGAGTTTCTATTTGCCTGTTGTGGATGATGTCATTCTTGTCAAGTAATTTCCTTAATTTCTCATCTGTTTGTTTCCTTTGTAATTCAAGAGTGGAGTTTTAACAGTTAAACTGGGTGGAGACATGGGAACATATGTAATCAATAAGCAAACACCAAACCGACAGATTTGGCTCTCCTCACCCACTAGGTAAGTTATGTGTCGTATGTAATGCCTGAAAACTGGGTTAAAATGTATTTCCTCTTTTCCTCAGCCTGCCTTGGCAAACTGTGTGACAAGGCCTTGTTGTGGCGGTTCGTCACATAGTGCAGTTTACTGGTATACCTTAATTAATCCAGTAAATGTTCAATACAGAATTTTCACATTCTGTTCCAGGCCAAAACCTCTATACAGGGAGCCTATTCACATGAAGAATAAACAGTCATAATTAAAGAACAAAACAAAACTTCTGTCGGGAAAAGGGAGGTGATGATGTTACAATCTAAACCTCTCTGTGTTTAAGCAGGGTGGCTCCTTCCCCTTGAAGCCTGTGGGATTTCCTGCGTCATGTGTTTATGTGCTCTCTGATGGGCTGTTTCTTGAGCTGCTGTCATGTGTTTATGTGCTCTCTCTGACGGGCTGTTTCTTGAGCTGCTGTCATGTGTTTATGTGCTCTCTGACGGGCTGTTTCTTGAGCTGCTGTGCTCCACAGGAGCCTGGGCTTGCCATTCCCGCTGCCTTCCGTAGTTCTGTGGCTGAGTCCATTCCAGGTTTTCTGGTGGGTTTCAGCTGGGAGGGCAGCCAGATGTGTGTGGAAGTAGCTGCCTCCCTCCGAGATTTGTGTTTTTTCCCGCTGTCCCGGGGGAAGCAGAGAGGGAGCCCAGCAGAGCTGCTGGCGGAGGAGCCCTCACGGCAGGGACACCTCCGGGAGGTGCCTCCACACCAGGAGCCGTTCTGCAGGAGCAGGATTTCAAAGTAGGGGGGAAAAAAAAAAGAAGTTCAACAGAACTCCAGATTCCAAGATAAGCAATTTGAGGAAATTACAATTTTAGGAAATAAAAATCACCCGAATAAAATTTGAACTCTGTCTTGGTATGCTTTTATACTGGTACAACATATTAGATAAGTCATTTTTCACTGCTAACTTTTTTTTCCTCATAGAATCTTTTTTTTCCCTATTAAATATTTTATTTAACAGGCGTCTGACTTGACAAGGCACTGGGCTAATAAATAAATAGTTATGTTTAGACAGATGGAGGCTGCCTATCATGATTTATTCACTCTGGGTTTTTTTGCATCAAGTATAATTTGATGCAATATCAAGAACCATGATATTGCTTAAGTAGCCTGTAGGGTTTTGTTTCATTGAAACAAAGTTTTAATTTACTTTTGGAAACCAAAGTTCAGAGAGTTTATATATGTTTGGAGCCAACTCTAGCCCTGAATACTGCATTTGTGTGAAGTGTCAGCTGTTTTCGTTTTATGATTGCTCCTGCAGTTGAGGAAAATGCACAATAAAATAAACAAGCTGAACTTTCTTTAAGGGTTTTCTCAGTGTCTGTGGTGGGATATGATTGCCAACAAACATTCAGTTTTGTGCTTCCTTGGCTGGTAGTATGGTAAATATTGGTGTTTCTTGGAAGAAACAGCTAAATGTGCACTTATTTACTAATTTGTGAAAATGTATGGTCCAGCTTCATCAGATAGTTCATCAAATACATGTGACTCCAGAGTGACATGCTTCTTACATGCAGTGTTCTAAAAAGTGAAAGAAACAAACATTACTGACAGTGACTAGAAGGGTTTCAATGTTATATCTGGGAAAACTGAATGGTAAATGTAGAATTTTTGAGTCTTTATGAACATAGCCTGAGGAAGACAACTGCTTCAGGTGGGAAAAGCAGAAATTCTCATGCATCCTTTTAACCTTTGCTTTGCTCCACTTTGTTGTATACACTCAGATGAAATAAAGCCTGTGTGAGTAAAGCTTTATTTAGCTGACAAAACAAAAACAATAGAAAAGGTGTGTAACCTGCCTTCACTGTGGTTACATTAATTTTTTTGTGGCTCATTAAACTAAAAAGGCATTTTAAACATTACACAGTGCCTGTGATAATGTTTTCATGTGTTATTTTCGTTCTTCTCTTTTATGTTAAAAGGATATTCAGACTTTCAATGAGAAATATATTTACTTTGTATTTAATCTTTGTAGGCATTTGTTATAAAATGACTTGCCAAAGGTCCTTGTTGACATGATAAATTTGAGAAAATCGTATTTGTCCACCATTTTGAAGATTCAGAGAACTAAGTTATTGAATATGTCAGTCATATCACTGGTATTTACTAAAAAATGCACAAAAAGAGTTGACATGACTTATCAGTGCATTCTTTTTCTGTGTGTGTGCTGATTGAATGTCTCCGTAGTTTCTTCCCATTCTGTCATTTCCCAGGAGGAGGACAGTGTGAACATGCCTTTGTTTGTTTGTTTTTCTGCCAAGAAAGAGTAAGAAATGCATAACAAAGTAACTGCAGACATAAACTGGATTCAGAACAGTTGCCAGTTCACCCGCAGCAAGTGAGGCTCCAGTGGAAGCTGGTGAACGTTTTGATTAGGTGGGCGGGAAGGTCTGGAGCGGGGTCTGCCTTGATCCGTAACCGTGGGCTGGAAGGATCAGTCTGGCCGCCCGCAGCTGCACGTTAGGCTTCCAGGGACGAGGCTCCCAGCCGGGAATACCTGTGCTTTCAGCTGGCAAATCCCTTTATTGCATTGGAGAGGGAAGCGAGGAGGCCGGTCTGTGTTCGGCTCTGTTCAGCCTACCTGCATGCGACGCTGCTGTTGCAGTTAATAAACAGCCCTAATTCAGCCTCGTACAAACGCTGTTGTTAGCTCCCTGTGTGTAACAGAATTATGGGTTGAGAGTATGAGAGAGCAGGGGAAGACGCCGGGGAGCAGCGCAGGAAGGAGGGAGTCTTGCCTGCCGGGAGTGACTGATAGGTCTTGTCTTCACCCAAATGCACCGGTCGGGTGGCGCGGCAGCACCTGGCAGGCCTGGCTGTGGGTTTCGCCCTCCCTCGCTGCCCGCCCGCCCTTTCTGTGCAGTTTGTTCCCTTTTCTGTGCAGTTCATTCCCTTTTCCTGGGCGCCGTCCCGGCTGTGTTGCGCGTACTGCCCTCGGCAGCTCCCCGTGATGATCTGCACTCAGGTGATGTGTTTTGTTTTATAGTGGGCCCAAGCGCTACGACTGGACTGGACGGAGCTGGGTGTATTCCCACGACAGCGTCTCCCTTCATGAGCTTCTATCAAAAGAACTTTCCACAGCGTTAAAAACAAAACTAGATTTGTCCTGCTTAATATATTCTGGGAAAGAAGATACTTGATGATCATTTTCTACCTCAAGGAAATTGAAAGACTTTAACCAGGAGCCCTTGCTAGGTTTCCGAAGTACCTAAGCTTAATTCTGTTGTTTTTCTTTGCATCACTGTGTTGTGTAACAACATGAAAAATAATATATTTTTCTTTAGCGATCAGTGTTTGGGTTTCTGTGTCTCTGCCTCAATTTGTGCCTGTGGAGGACAGATGATTCAGGTGTCCATTCCTATCACTGCATTTCTTACTCCTAAGGAACCTACTCCTAAAAAGTAAGTCATGAATTTCCGTCGTCTGCAGGTTTGTTTGGGCTGCCTGGTCCCTCCTGACCAGGCTGCGACGGGCAGGAGGGTGGGAAGGGAGGCTGCTGCAGGCAGGCCAGTAAGACACCACGGCCTAATCCAGCACAGGGTAAAGGAAATGAGCCTGGCAGGGAGGATTTTTTTTCACATTGGGTAATGGCCATAGTAGGAGTTTTTCTTCTCAGCTTTGCAGAATTTAGTCTCTTATTCAATTTCCTTTTTGTCTGTGTGGTTGTAAGCAGTACATGGAACTGAAAAAAAGCTGTTGGGTCACATTTTATCTGTGCAGCAACAACTTTACAAACATTTTACTCTGTTATTGTGAATTTCTTATATTCTCTTCTTTTTTTTTTTTGAAGAGTAAAATTACAAAATTTACTGTTGAGCAAAATGAATATCCTCTCAGGATAGCAAAAAAATTGCATTAGTTTTTGTACTGCTGCTTTAATAAGTAACTGAGCGTATATTTTTTTTTCCTTTACCATAATGCAAGGCTTCCATTGGTACCATGCTGGTGGAGAGACATTTGCCTTTTTGCCTGTTAGAATTGATGAAGTTGAATCTGCTCCAGACTGTTTAGAAAAAGCGATGGAATAAATTATATACTCCAGCTTTTAAAAAGATTGTGAAAGAGCAGTATAGCACTTGGCACTGTTGTAGTATCACCAATGGTGGGTTTAATGCCTGTTAAATGGGAGCACAAAGTTTTTCACCGATTCTTGAGAAAATAGTTAAATCGGATTCTTTTAAATTTTATCATTGTATGGAAAGATATCCGGGGTAGACTTTTTTCCCCAGTTCTTGATTTCTCTGATGTTTGTGTTTACCTTGGCTGACTGGCTAGAATTATTACAGGTGCAATAATCTGTTGTAGATAAACAATAGCTGTACAGTGTCCTTGCCCAGTACGTGGAAATCCTGTTTCCAGCTGTTTCCCACCGTTAATTACAGCAAAAGCAATGCTGCTTTGGAGCCAGCTCTCAATGGTTAATTGTGCACACAATATTTGCCTGATTTTCAGTAAAAATTAAAAAGATGACAGTTATCTGAAAAGTCATTTCTACTGGACTGAAATGACTAGCAATTGATATGAGTAAAAGATGCCATTTTACAAAGCAAGATTAAAATCAGATTTTTTAATTTATCTTTGTAACAGTAAGACTAATTTGCAGCATGTGAAAAACAGTAATTCAAAAAAGCAAGATTTACTGAGACACCTTTATAGATAGAAATTAACTATATTTGAAACAAGGATACTTCCTTATTCCTCCTTGGTTTCGTCACGTGTAACTTGTGCAATTATTTTGGTGACTGACTTTTCAAAAACTACTTTGTTACATGATTTGCATGCAATTTACAATGATTGACACTTATTTGCAGGATCATTTGCAATTCCCTTTTGTCTTGAACAGTTGTTTTACACCACAATAAAGTTGCATGCAGAATTTGGAATTTGTTTATATAGAAGTGATATTTCAGTCTGTGATGATAAAGGAAAAGCACTGCAGCCATGCGTATTGTTTCGAGTTCTTTCGGTCTCTTAAGAGGCTTATTGCAAGGAATCTGTTCAAAATTTGGCTAGGCAACATGGATTTTATACCAGCTTTTAGACCTTCCCTTTTGAGATGCTTTCCCTTCAACAATAACATTACTGTGATTTATGCAAAAAGTTTCCTGGGTTTAGGTAGCTGAGTAAAAAGTGGGTTTGATTTAGATGATGGAGGTGAATTCAGTAAACTGGAATGTGGGGATTTCATCTCAAGGCACAATATGAAAAAAAAATCTGGCAGGAAATCTGCCTTGTTCCAGGGCTTGCATCAAATTGTAAGTGTGGGCAAGGACTCCGTCAGCCAAGAGGAGCTCTGATCCCGGTGTCAGATTTTGACAGGTCTTCCGCAGTGTTTTATGCTTCTGTGTCATCTCTGCGCTAACAAATTGCTCCATAGTTAGGCACCTGACATCGTGACAGGGTTTTTCTTGGTTTGGCTTCTCTAAAAATAAAGACCTGAAAGATGCAAATAGTAACAAGGAGAATTGTCACAGTTCTGGCAGCATTTATCCTACAAAACAAATTGCCGCCTCCTCAGCCCAGGGGAGCGGGCTGAAAGCCCTTGAAGGCAAGCGTGGGCACTGGCAGCTCTTGTGGGCGTTCAGAGGAGGGACCTGGCGCAACAAGCGGGTCTCACCGGGGCTTCCCTCACCCTCTGGCGGGGGCTGAGGTGTCCGCCGGCCCCTGTGACCGGCCTGCGGGCTAAAAAAAAACCGGGGGCTGCCCCTGTCACAGGGCGCGCTGCCGTTCCCGGGAGCCGTGTGCCTCAGCTCCTGGGCTTGGCTGGTTCTGTTCCCTCTCCTGAGGGGTTTTACCTTTTCCCAGCGAAGCTGCTCTCTAGTGGAGTCATCCCGGCTTGTCTTTCCTCAAAACCCGTAAGTGCTTTAGCACTTACTTAAATAGGATGAAGACCTGTCCTGAAGAGCCATAGCTGGGTAAGGGAAGGGGCACTCGGGGGCCCGTGCCTGACTGCTGGACGCAGGTTTGCTGTTTGGCTTCAGCCAGGGCTGAACGCGGTGCTCGGTCCCAAGGTGCGGAGCAGTCCTGCAGCCAGGGGCGAGTCCTTGCGAGGAAGACGGAGACTTGCCAGGATGTCTGGAAGAACATCCAAAACGAGGGAGGAAACACGAGAGAGCGGAAGAAAAGGCCATCAGGAGGGATCAGCAGCACCCAACACCTTCAGGGTTGCTGTTTCAGGCGCACTGTGCCCACCACTGCTTCCACTTGCTACCAGTCACACGCATGTACCTGTCTGAGGTTCTGCCGGGATGTTTTTTTGTTTTAAATTCCCATATAAATATGCAAAAACAAAGTTGTTCAGAGCGATACTACTCTTTATAGCAAACTCTCTTTTCTGCAAATTTCATGGACCAAGAGAAGATTCATGACCTCCGTGGAAGAAGATAACCGTGGAGGAGACCCTTGCCTAGGCACAGAGTATGCAGAGCTGGGAACGGGCAGGAGAATTCTGTAAGTGATACTATTTTTTGTATGGTGTTCATATTAAGGGGTGACTAAATTAAAAAAGGTATTTAAAACAAGCTACTTCCTTCTTTTGCTGCCTTCTCCAATTTGCTGGATTTCTCCCGTCTCCAATTTTCGCAGTTTTATTCTCAGTAATTAGGCTATGTGATCAGTATTACAATGAATAATGTTGTAAGCACTGTTGGTTTCCAGGTCTAGGTTCTTTTTATTATTCATTAGTGTTCTCCACCAAAATACTTAAAAAAAAGAAATACCTTACATATGTCGACAGTAATACTCCTCTTCAGAGTATTCTAGAAGCATTAATTAAGCGTCATAAAGGTACTAATATTTTTCTTTTTTTCTGTAGTGAGAGAAGTAATACATGGAGTTTTATTATTCATTAAAGAAACAGATTCAGCACCATGTAAAGCAAAAAAAAAAAAAAAAAAGAAAGAAGGAAGGTGACACATACCTGAAAGTAAGACTGAATTTCAACTTCTCATGCCGTGATTCATTCAGCCTGTATGCTTTAATACTGCATGACTTATTGATCATAGATCTTACCTATAATTGAGATTTTTATTGTTTTTTTTTTGTTTTTTTTTTTTCTGATTGGGACTTTCGGTCTGTAATGCACATGAGGGCTGTGAATGCGCATGAGGTTGATCATTAGCCGGAGCTACAGGCAAACATTCAAAGTAACGTTTGAACGTGTTCTGGTATCTGCTGTCAGTAAAGCAGGCGCTTTCTGCCCGCCCTGCCTGCTTCCAAAGTCCAGCGGCTTCACCCACGCTGCTGTTTGCCTTCCTTATCTCGATCGCGGCTACACCTAGCCGCTACACTCACCTAGCAGGGAGGGAAACGCTCAGGCTGAGCTCTAGGAACCTAAAATCTGTAGCAAAATAACCCACCTGTTTGGCTAAATTATAATTGCTAATTAATAATTAACTGCGGTTAATAACTAACAGATAATCGGGAAAGCCCTGAGTGTGAAAGTGACTTGGTTCTGCAGACAGCCCTGTGGTGGCTCCTGGAGAGGCTCACGTTGGGTTTTCCACGGAGATTAGGATTTCTTTGTGGATCTAGGGCTTTGCAAGGGGCTCTGGAGAATCCAGTTGGGGCTGTTTGCCCTTTCCCATCTCTGCTGGAGGACGTTGGCCACACCAGAAAGCCGATAGCTGCGGAATTCCTGGCTCGGTTTCGGTAAGTTCAGGTTTCAGTGTTGGTTAAGACTCTCCCAGCGGCTCTGTGTGTTTTGGCCTGGGCTGCGGGTATAGTTGGCGCTTCTCGGGCGTTCTGTCTGCGAGCGATGGCACGTGCAGCCAGCACGGCCCGAGCACCTCGGTGGGCACCACGGGGAGATACCGCGGACACGAGGTAGTGAAACGCAGGGCCAGGAGCGTGCAGGGGGCTGCACCACGTGTGCTGGGGGCCTTTATTTATTTATTTATTTTCCTTTTTTATTCTTTTTTTTTTTGTGTTTTTGTTTTGTTTGCCTTCAGTGGAATGTGCAATATTTCAGTTATTGCTTGTGTTGAAAACTCTAGTTTAATGTTAAATTGAAGGACTTCTAGCTAGAAATTGAGCCCTTCTTTTTCTTGTTTGTGCTTTGTTATTCAAAGAGTACATTATGTTTATTAGCACAGTCAGTAAAATACAGTGCACTTGTTCTGTTTCAGAAGCCTTCAGCTCCTGTGCCTGCAAAAACTACTAAGGATGAAGTGGTTCCTTGTGCTGCAGCTTGCACTGTACAGGCTTCAGCTCCATCAAAGGTTTCTTCAGTGAGTACTTGGCTATCTCAGCTGGTGCTAAAGGAAAACTCACTGCCTTTTTTATGCAACATTATAGCGTATTTTCAAGGGGCTTATTTAAGT